TCAAAAAGACATGGACATCGCCCCACAACTCTTTTTTAATCTTCTTATGTCCCATAAGACCGTATCGCAGTTTCCACCTTACGAACTCTTGTTGGGTCTTGTCAAATTGTATTAAACGAAAGCTGTTCGACGACTGAGTTTGGTGTTTGGCAAAGTGCCCGATAGGGCGCGCCAAATGCAAGGGTGAAGATGCTTGCTGAAATCTCAATCGTTCTCCACCGTTTCACGCAGGCCGGAGCTCTCTGCTCGAGGGCTTTCCCTCAAAGTTTTTGGGATCATCTTGCTGTTTTTTGATTGCGTTCGTAGTTTTTTGTTTTGGTCTGTTCTGTTTGTGCATGCTCCTCCTCGCTTGCTTGCGGGAGCCCCTGGATCTGCTGAGGTGGCACAAGAGCTGATCCGGTTGGCCGCCGTTGATAGCACGATCGTGTGCGCAATGGACGGGTCTGCCAAGGAATCCGTGGCCGCTTGGGCGGTTGCCTTCACGCAAGGGGGCCGGGTCGCTGCTGGTCTTGGCACTGAAGATCAATCAATATAGATCAAGCATCCTTCGTTGCGGACGTTAACGCGTTGGTTGTGATCCTGGACACGGCCGTCATGGCGCAGGAGGATTCCATTGTGCGACTTGTTCAACCTGCCCTTCGGGCCATCCACCCCTCGCACAGTGGTGAGTGCATCGGACTGGCCCGCCGCACCCTGGTGTTCGTGAAAGCCGCCCTCTCTGGCTCGACGGTGCCTGCATGCGCTTCGCACTGAAGCCTTGGAAGCAACTTCTTCCGGGAGCGCTTGAAGCTTTGAATCGTTGGAAGTGGCGTGCTACCGACAGCGGCGATCCCATTCTCCGCACTGACCACCGCGGAAGGGTTCGTTGGGTCCTCGGCTGTGATGGTCTGCAAACACTGGAGGAGTGGCTACTCTTTGAACACAAGAGGAGGGCGCTGTTTGCTACAAGCAGGGTCCGTGACAGCTACCACCGCCATGAGGACGAGCACTACCTACTCCGCCGGGCCACCGTGGCCAGGCACACCGATGTCTCTTCTTCGAGGACCAGGCTTCTATACCACGTCGGCTGATTGCACTAGCTTCTGGATCGACGGTTTCGTTCGTGAACCACAGCACTAAACGGCCCGAGCGGCGGTGGCACACATGGTGCGCGTGCGTGTTTGAGTACCCAAGCAGGCTGCATCACCAACAGAGCTGTGGAGCGTGTGTTTGCTGCGACGGTCGAGGATTTTCCACCTCCGCCAGACGTGCACGCAGATGCTCATGACATCAGGTTCACATGGCCTCTGCCAGCGACCTGCTTGTGTGTGTGCGACTGACGGCTCGTCCAAAGAGTCGGCGGCCGCCTGGCCTGTTTCTGGCCAGGGTGGCGAGGTGCTGGCTGCGGGGCTGTCCTCCGAGGACCAGTCCTCCTACGTTGCGGAGTTGTGTGGGCTGGCGACAGTGCTCGAGGCGGCGGTGCTGGCTTTGAGAGATGTCGCCTTCACAAGGCTGGTGGTGCTTTGCGACTGTAAGGCGGCTCTCCAAGTGGTGAGCCCTAGTCACAAGGGCGAGGGCATGGTCTTTTCCCGCCGCATCGTCGCGGCCCTAGATGCACTGAGACTCCGGATCCTGGTTGACCTCGTCTGCCCAGCGTATGGCCGAGAGGCGGCGACGGACTGGCAACTTCCCGCTAGGGTCTCTGAAGCTTTAGCTCGACGACCCGACCAGGAGGCCGACAGTATCGCTACAGACCGACCTTGCCAGGCTTTGTCCGAGTGTGAGTGTCAAAAACCTTTGTTTCGATTTGTGCTTGTTTCATCTGTGATCTAGCTGTCTTTGTTTGTTTTTTTGTCTTTGTGTGTCTTTTTTTCGGCTTTCCCGTCTTTATATGGAACCCTTCCGACACGTACGACCTCAAGGGATCTAAACCACGAGGTATGAGACTGCAAGATCGATCAATGA